CCCCATATACTGTATATATGATGTATAGAAGAGCTATTGAAATCTGAGACAATATTTTAAGGTGGGAATGGAGGTCACATGTTTCTCCTTTCTAAATGATCTAAAATGTAACAATAAAGACTTCTTGCTTTAGCAAAACCAAGTGGTAGTTAAAACCTAGACACTAAGATCAGTTCTGGGGCCTCCTGCTGGACACAAGAACAAATGAAAATCAGTTGATTCCAGTTTCAAAATAAACTGCTGACAGAACAGAAACACGTTTGCTCTGAGAGAAAGAGAAAACCTGCGTTAGGATGTTGTGACTGGACGAACAAACCAGCTAAATAAATCATTGATATAAATCATTGATGTGCTCAAAACTGTTTGTGTGTGCGTCACAGTGAAAGTGGAGAGCTTCTGTACATCGGATGTGCAGCCGTCAAAAGTCAAAAGGTCAAATTTCAGGTCAAAAAACTCTCATTGTCTCAGTCTTTTGTCTTCTCTGGGATCTTAATGATGTCACAGAGAAACAGTATCAGTGATATCCACAATGCCACAGGCACAGAAGCCCCCCCAACTAGTTATTTCAGAATCAGAATGAGAATGGGGTTTATTGCCAGATGTTGAGGTTTACAACATTAGGAAATTGCTGCGGTGCTTCAGTGCAAACAATAAGAATTAAAGTGCTATGTAGAAAGAAAGATATGTGCATGAGATATACATTTAACCCTCTGTTTATAATGGGCAACCAATGAGAATGTTGCTATATAGAGGGGAGGGGCTAAAACATGTCAGCTCAGCTAGGTGATGGACTGAGCAGCTGCATCAAGGCCCAGTATAAGAAAAAAGTTTATCTTGAGATCTTATCCATGCAAAGTGTTAGATTATAATATTATTTTATGCCATGTTAGACCCCTAATTAAAGGTTGTGAATTATTATGTAGTTTTGGTTTGCATTATTCTCCTGAATTAGAAGAAGCTGATAACTATTGCATTAGTTAAACTGATTTGCATTACATTAGACTGCTGATTTATTGTGGATGAATGATATTGTTTTATGATGTTATAAGAAATACTGTTTGCAGAAAGTCATCGCCTTATTTGTCTGATTAGAAGAGAACAGAACATGCTGGAGTTTTCTGCCCCATCTCAGCAGGAGCAGATAAACAGGGAGCCAAGGTCGTAGCTTAGGCGCTGTGTGAGAGAAAGCATGTGAATGTTTAGGCTTTTATGATAAGGTGGAGGCACCAGAGGCTATAAGAGGTTGATCAATGCTCCACCATTTTGAGATCTGAGGCTGTCTGCATACAGTGTCCATCTCCCACATGTGTGACTATTAAAATCATCGTTTGACTCAACCCGGCCGGACCAGTGTTGTTATTGTGATTTTTTCCTCTTGTCTCCATCCAATTTTGAACTCGTAACAAAAGCTACTATAGTAGATTCGACTAATAAAAATACAGACCTGGAAATGAGCAGAATAACCCCAACTCCAATATTTTTAGCTGTAAACGTATAACCTACACCTGGCAGATGAAACATAACAAGAAATGCTCAGTAAAACAGGTCCTGATTGCCAAGTGAAAAGCTTGGACGTGAGGTGGGACTCTGGAAAAGCAAAGTCAGCCGTGGCTCGTATTTAAGTTTGAGGCGGGGATGACCTGACGCTCCAGCTCACTTTCAAGTGTCGCCTTGTTAAGGATGGACTGACAGAACTCTGGCATGTTGACTTTGCAGGCATTTGTCAGCACGAGGTTCAACTCTGGAAAGTAACAAACACATATAAAAGTGTATTTTTTTGTGAGTGTGTGTGTACCCCTGCCGTCTGTCCATGCTGTTTATTTGTGCCCTTGGTCTCTCCCCATTCTTTTCATTGTATAGGTTTTTTTTAGTGGGTTTGTCATTCCTTTTGTTTATAAGGATAATTTGTGTTTAAGCTTCGTTTCGTTTGTAATATAGGTTGTATTGTTTCTATTTATCCTGATGTCATTTGTTATGTCCTCCACCACTCTTGGTTTGTCTTTTGCCTTCCAAGTCCTGCTTCTTAGATTATGTTTGGCTATGGCCTCTGTGTGTCTTGTCCATATAGTATTTAGTTAATCTCCTTTTATATTCCTATTCTGTTCCTCCAGTCTTGTCATTGTCTGTTTGTCTTGCTTGTTACTGTGTTTAGTTGTATCATGTTAATGTTTCCCCCATGCAGTTATGTCTGTCTTCATGTTTTATTTTGGTAATTGTTTTCTTTTCATCATATGTTAAGTTTTAATTCCTCCCAACTGTTCTCAGTTGTTCCCACATCACCTCTCCCCTTGTTATCGTGTGTGTGTGTGTGTGTGTGTGTGTGTGTGTGTGTGTGTGTGTGTGTGTGTGTCTTTGTCCTGTGTTACATTGTTCCTCGTGTTTTGAAGTCTCCCTGTGTTTCCTACTGTGTATATCAGCCTAACATCATAAAACATGATGAGTGATGCAGTAATGCACTTTGGTATTTTGGATATCTGAAGTATGTTAACATCATACTAGACCTTTTTCTGTTCCTTTCTTTATGGAGCACCTTTTTGATCTCCTTTCAAGTAAATATGGCCCCATCCAAATTCAAAAAAACCAACAAGGTGGCTGCTAATACAGTGTCTAAAACCACTAGATGATGATCTGTCTTTTATATACAGTTTGTGGCAGCTGTTCCCAAACTTAACAGCTTGCACACATAAAATTCATCCTCCCAGCAGAGATTATTTAAATACAGATGATTCAACCTCATAGTCAGTGCAAAACCTATTTACTGCATACTCCTTTGGTAAGTTGTGTTTATTTGCAGTAGTGCTGTTGCTCACGTTACCTGTGAATGCTGAACACAAGGTTACGCATGTTGGTTTTTACAGGATAAACAGGTTTATTAAAGTCATGTCTGACGCTGTAGACGGACATAACACAGATGCCAGAAATGTTTGAGACATCACTTTAAAATCTGCAAAAATGAAAATGACTTTCATTTTCCTCAACACCTGAGCAGGAAGGCTGATGACACGCACTGACCGGTAAAGAACCAAACTCAATCTTTAATCTTCTGCATGGTATTAATGTTCTCCTGTATATCATTAGATTTTATATTGTATTTATTTTTGTTAAAGAAGCTAAATCCTGCCCTTCAGTAACTTTAATTTTGTCCATTTTTAATCAGTTTTGGCCTGCCAGGTTCTAGCCGGGTGTACTGAGGCAGTGCACTAGGCAGACTGAGAGATGAGACTATAATGGGCAAAGAGAAACATGTGTATGTATTTGCCTTGAGACAATTTTTCTTTTCAGGGAACATATTTTTGTCTTTATTTTTTTTCTGTTTTAATACACCCAGCAGCAAAAAGCAGAGTTTTGCAGAGATCAGAGGCTGTAGAGACTCACTGTTTGTTGACCGTTTCAGGGAATTACACGGGAAATACTGTGAGAGGAAAAAGCTGCATGAGACACATTTTGCATTAAATCGGAGCATTTCAATAAAGCATACATGCCTGGACCTCGATGAGAATCTCATTTCCCAGTGAAACTGAAGGTGACACCCCAGTTTTAAACTATCTGACTGTGGATACAGCTTTACAGTCCCAATTCTAGCTGTTATTTTCTAAAACTTGCCATTAAATTCTTCACATTTTTATTTACTGTGTCATCTTCTTCCACAGATTTGAAGCTTTAATGCTTCAATAATCGCTAATGTATTCCTTTTACTCTTACACCAGTCTTGGCCCTGACAAGGCAAATAGCATAATCGAGTAGCTGTCATTAAAAAAATAAAATAAAATCAGTCTTGTAATTTAAAACTCTTCATCATGTCCTGCCATGAATGCTTTCGTAATGCTTGCATTTTTTAAAGAAACGGGTAGAGTTTCTACACTGTTAAAGGACTGATTCAGTTTTTCCATCTATATCCAAAAGGCCCATCCTAATCCCACTTAAACAATCAGAGACAGAAACAAATCGAGAAGGTGACTTCTGAAGTTTGGCTTTTTACCACCAAATTCTCTCTTTATGTCCACTCATGAAGTGGGGAAAATGGATCACGTATTGACAGTATGAGGCCAGCAAACCTTTCACAACATAGTTTCACTTTTCATTTGAACTAAGCCTTGAAGTCTTTTTTTGAATGCAGGATGCTGTTGCACAGGATGGAAATTTCTCTCTAGCTCTAGATGTGCTGTTTGAATTCTAAAGACAAAAAGCAGTTGTGCTGGTCAATTATGAAAGGATGTGCAAGTAAACGTTTCGTACTTCTGTAATCTGCTGAAATGAAAGCAAAAAATATAATTTATGACTGAAACTGCACCCAATTTTCCTGTGACATCTCACGCTGTTGTTGTGGGAATAAGATGTCTTGCACTGTGGTTTATTGTTTTAGCTTTTTTCAAAATTTGGGGTCTGGTTTGGGTCTGGTTTTAATCTAAACAAAACCGTTTTATCCCCAGTATGAAAAATAAGCTGTTGACAGGAGGCTGTTGTGGTTTTCATGCTAAAAAAAACGCCTTATCTTAAAGGCAGTCCTCACAGACAGACCGAAGAGCCGATTCTGGTGAAGACTACTTAAATGATGTGTCTGAGATCAAAGCTTGTGATGCTGATTGTTCATAAGATGGGGAAAATCCCATCAGTTGTTGAATTCAATTTGCTCCAAAGAATGACAAAAAAATATATAATCTGACTTTGCTGAAGCAACCGCAGGAAGGTAAAAATCTCTTTAAAGAGAGATCTGAGAACAAAAAAACATTCAACACACATTTGCCAGACAAGAACTTTAAAAAGTATTCGAAAGGCAGTCGAGTATTTGCAGAAAGTTTGTGCAAATGCAGCACACAGAAGCGCTTAAAGAACAAAAAGTGAACTTTCAATGGCTAATATGAAAACACCCGAGTTGCACAAAGTACAAAGGGCTAAAACAAAACAGGTAAAAAAGCAAACTGATGAACTGAGAGCCGACAAGGAAAGAGTTAAGACTGTATACAGCATTGCATACAATCATAAAGAACAGTGACGAAGGAAGCAAAAACATTGGAGGCGTACAAACGAAGTTGTTATCAAAAAACAAGGACAGATGATTACACTGATGAGCAGGAAAAACCGCGAGAACAAATACAAGAAAACATGTGAAACAAAATATGAAGACACCCAAAAGAGAATTAATACGATGCCAGGAATGCCTCCAAAACCAGACTCAGGGTTGAGCTTTGAATACCTTGGATAACTTACCAGTTCCTCATAATAATTAAAGCGAGAATATAGTAGAAGGGTGGAGTGACAACTGTTGGTTTTAAAGGAAAAGAGAAAGAGAATGCTTGAATGGTAAATGGACTGATTCTTATATAGCGCTTTTCTACTCTCCCAGAGTGCTCAAAGCACTCTATACAACATGCCTCATTCACCCATTCAAGCACTTCTAAACACAAGTGCAAACTAACCACACGGTGAACGCATCGGAGGGCAATTTGGGGTTAGTATCTTGCCCAAGGATACTTGACATGCAGACTGGGAAGACAAAGATCGAACCACCGACCTTCCGATCAGTAGCTGATCTGCTCTACCACCTGAGCCAAAACCACGCCATAACTTGAAACTTTGTGTACACTTTGTCCTGAAGAACTAATTTTTTTCAAAGAATACAGGCGGGCTCGAAATGTGATTTTGGCCCACAAGTCCAGCGGATGAGTGGCATCTCCACATAGATGTGGCCTATATCACACATATAAAATAAATAAATGAAAGACTGCTGTGGTTGAAAATGGAAAAAAAGTATTTCCATCTCTGACCAACTCTGACCTTTGCCTTTGCTTATGAGCTCTGGGCGGTTAGGAAATAAATAACTTTTATCCTCTTATGATCCACCAGGTTTCTGGGCTTGGACTTCTACAGAGGGATCTAAAAACAGCAGACTAGAAGGAGTGCAGAAGTGCACAAGGAGACAACCTTGAAGATAAATCAAATTTTAAAAAGGTAGGATTTTTTGTTTGTATAGGCAGTTTCCCACTTCATGACCACACATTGTATTTTTCGAAGAAATTTGGGGGATTTCCCAGACAAAAGTGGAAAACGTCACATATCCTTCCAGTTACTTTGCATATAAGCGGTCACATTCAGTCTGAACACACCTTCACACGTCCAACTGAAAGATTTCTGACTTTAAGGAGGTGCACAAGGAGACAACTTTGAAGAGACATCAAATCTTTTTTTTTTTTTAAAAAAGGTTTTTATTTGTATTGGTAGTTCCCATTTTGTATTCATACATTGTATTTTTCCAAGAAGGTGAAAGGGGAAAGGGTTGCAGTGGCAAAATCAAAACATATCCTTCCAGTCACTTTCAGTCTGAACACACCGTAATACGTCTGACTGGAAGGTTTATGGCGTTAATTGGCTTAACATAGGCACATCCCAGCTTATCATGAGTGCTGAAATTAGATTTTAACCCTTTTTGTTGTGTGCACATACAAACTTTATCCTTTTGGAAAATTTCAGGTTCAGCTCAGTTTAGCTCAGTCTGTTTGAGTTTACTTCACCGTAGCACCACTACAATCACGTTAACTGTTTTACTTTCTGTGCAGCTGATCATGGACTACGCTGAAGGTATCTTGTCCCTTACCACAACCATCAAAAAGATGGTTGACACTATGAAGTCCAATAAGGAGTACTGCAGTCGGATTGCAGACAGAGTCAAAGCTGTTGAAGGACTGGTTTTAAACATCAGACAGAGGGATCCAAGCCAAATCTCTGATACTGTCGATGGAGCTCTGAGGGAACTCTACGTCATCTTGAACTCTGCCAAGAATCTGATGGCAAAATTCTCTCAAACCAAGGCTGTTAAGGGTTTCTTTAGGTCTAGCAGCATTGAGGAAAAGTTCAGCGAGGTGAACCAAAGGCTCACAGAGAACTTCCAGGTCCTTTCTGGTGCTCTGCAGATTGAGCACACCACCATGCTGCAAAAGGTGTATAAAGCTGTTTCGAGACAAAATACTGAGGAAGAGGTTTGCAGTATGATGGCTAATACTAGTCTCACAACCCCTATGTTTCCCCCTGCCCCGGTGTCAAGTCCTACAGTTCCTATGCTTCCCTTTGCCCCGATGTCAAGTCCTACAGTTCCTATGCCTCAGCCTGCACAAGTGTCAAGTGCTACAGTTCCTATGCTTCCCTTTGCCCCGATGTCAAGTCCTACAGTTCCTATGCTTCCCTTTGCCCCGATGTCAAGTCCTACAGTTCCTATGCCTCAGCCTGCACAAGTGTCAAGTTCTTCAGTTCCTATGTTTCAGCCTGCTCCAGTGTCACACCCCCAACATCCTCAGCTTCCTCCTACACCTGTTTCTAGCCCTACAGGTCCTATATTTACATCCATACCAATGTCTAACCCTACAGCTGCCATGCCTGTCACCTACGTTATGTCCCCTACACCTTATGTGACACAGCCTGTCTACAATACTACAACATCCCGCTTTATCGTCACCAACAACATAGCCTCCAGACCTGTCATGCAAGCCATTTCTCAGGGGTCAGTCACTGGCATCAGAACTCTTGCTCCAATCACTCTTCCAGCCCAAACCATGCCCATTGTGTCAGCTTATGTGGTCAAGAATGCTTTTTTACGTTAAAACAAGACAAACGTTTTGCTAATGGAATTTGCTTACATTGAATACAGTTAAGATACTGCTTTCAAGAGTGCAGTCAGGCTCAACATCTTGCTCATCTTCACATCAACCACATGTTTCCTGGTTGGCTGCCCTTGTGAACACAAAGTTTGTGTAGCTGGCAGCCGGGGCTTCTGTGCCTGACATGAACATTTTATGTTTTTTATATTATGGTTATTCTCTCTCACTGGTATCCTATGCAGCAAAGAATAGAAAAAAAACTGTGTGAAACTGAGTGTTTAATTGAGCTTTGTACTTACAGGGATTACTTGTACATACCCAGATCAACATTTGAAAGTTTGGACATGTTTGAAATGAGCATCCACCATTGGTACAGGATATATGACAGAAAACCTGCACGCTCTTTGGACACAGCTTGCTAATTAAGCTAGCTAGCATGAGGTGATTATTGTGCCCTCCACCCTCTCATTCACTGGATCATCCAGTGGTCACATCTGACTGCAAAAAACAAATATACAAGCAGCCCAAATACAATCACTGAGGCTCTAGCTGACATCATGGTGTCCACATCCTTCGTTTATATACAGTCTATGGTTACAACTTAATCCAATTATTTTATATGGCCTTGTGTATTTTTATGATGTATTTTGAGATATTCAGGAAGACTAGTAGCAACTACATAATAAACAAAGATTACTGACTTTTTGGGGAAAATATCTTCTTGGATTTTGGAAAAAAAAAATCACTTCTGTAGTCTCTCCTGGAAGGTCTTCAGCGTGTAGCATAGTTATGCTTGGTGACTGGGTTTCACCAACTGGTGACATCCTACCCTCTTTGTTTTAAATTTTTCACTATTGACTCAGTCACTGCCATTGACGACGTCAATGGCAGTGACTGAGTCAATGGGTTTAACTCATTCACTGCCAATGGCTGGCAGTGAATGAGTTAACAATAGTTTCTTTTTGATAATAATGTTTGTTACATTTGTAGTGTTTGTTTTTATGTTGCATTTATTCTGGTGGCTCCATAGGATAGTTTGCTGGTTTGCCAGACAAGCAAAGGACTCGTTATTAAAGCCTGGGAGGTTTATAAACCCCGTTGTCACATGTGGCATCTGCTGCCAAAAATCTGCCAAACCAAATATGTGGAGCTACCCGCTGTAAATAAGTGAGTGGATGGAAGTAGCTTCTCTTCTTTTCTGATGCATTTGTTTTGCCATTAGATATATTTTGCTTTATTATTTTTATGTAGTTTACAACTTGTTTTGCTGGTGAGTCTATAATAAATCAAGAAATCTCCATGTCTGCCTGTTCTTTTTTTATCGTTCTCAAAAGCTTCAAGCTGTCTGTTTTATCTGAACACTTCAGCTGAACATCCTCTCACCTCTCATCCAATTATGGTCACTTCTGAAAATAACAGCAACATAACAGTGGTTAATTTATTTTAGGGTTAATTTTAGGGTGACAGAAAGACAGCAGCAGAAATACAGAGTAAGAAGCGGAGAATGGAGGCTACAGAAAACAGCTACAGCTCAAAAGGCTGTTTCTTTATGTGCAGCCAGTTTCATGGTAGAAGAATGAAATTAATGACAGAGGTAACGACATGACCAAACCAGTTTTTTAAAATGAAACTTCCTGCACAGTAAGTCGACCTGTTTTATTGAAATCCCTCACCTGCAGTAGCGAGTTACAGGTTGTTGTGAACTGGATGCTAGAATACATTATTTCTGCTTCAACATTTGTTATTAAAGTTAATACTCTTTTTGATTATCTGTTGAGAACTTTACGTGAACCAAACTGTCAGTGAAATGCCTGATGTGTCTGGTGTAATATATCCTGAATAATGAAGAAAACTATGGATGTTTTTGTCTTTACACCACATTTGACTCTGACAAGACAGACGGCATAATTATGCATATACTTGTCATTTTCATAAATCAATCTTGTCATTTAAAACTCTTTGACATTTCCCAACATGAATGCTTCCTGTATGCTTGCATTTATGAGAAATGGGTGGCATTTCTAGGCTCGAAGGTAAATATCATTTCCGTGAAGGCATTCTTTTCGGAAAACAAACTCACTGTAAAGAGTTTAAAGGTACAAATGTGCATGCAGCACTGTGACTTATCCTGCTTAGTTTTATACTAGTTCAACATTTAAATGTTCCAAGTTTATCGATGTAATCTATATTTAAACAGC